ACAACAATAAAAACATAAAAAGAGCAGTAAAACCAGCTTCCAAAAAAACCCCAAAACAACTTGCAACATCCCAAACAACATTGCCTGTATACTGACATTTACATTTCCTAGGCTCCAGTCTCACCCTAGCCCAATATTTGAAGAAAGAGCCAGTTCTTTAAGGCCTTCCAGAAGGCTAGACAGGTGGGGGCCTGCCAGATCTTGAGGGGAAGTTATTTCCTAAGGCAGGGGAAGCAACAGATAAAGTGTGCCTCTCAGGTCATATGACACACCAAATGTGTAGTATTTCAACCGCTATACAGGTATGCCTCGACTTACAACCATAATTGGGACCGGAACTTCCATACTAAGTGATGCAGTCATTAAGTGAGTTGCACCCAATTTTACAAGCTTTTTTGTCACAGTTGTTAAGTGAATCTGGAATCCCCCATTGACTTTGCTTATCGGAAACTGCTTGGGAAGGTCACAAATGGCAATCATGTGACCTCAGGATGCTGCAACCATTGTAAATACATGCCAGTTACCAAGGTCCTGAATTTTGATTACATGACTATGGGGATGCTGCGATGGTTGTAAGTGTGAGGCCCAGTCATAAGTCACTTTTTTCAGCACCTTTATAACTTCAAACAGTCATTAAACAAATGGTTGTAAGTCAAGGACTACCTGTACTGAATATACTAAAACTTTTTTTCCAATATGAATGTGTTATTAAATATTATTAATTACATTTACTGATTGCTGAATCCCTAATGACTCTTGGTGATATACACATAAGATACTTATGAAACAATATACAATATACAATGAATAGAAAGTATACAGATACTAGTGAAAAATATTGAAAAATGTTAAATTAACCAAATCAAACTATAAGCAAACAAAGAAAGGGTCAAGACCCAAGACCCTTTAGAAGAGGTCTGTTTTGAACAGCTTTCAGAAGGTAGTCAGGTGGAACCAACTGGATGCCTGCTGGGAGGCCATTCCAAAGAACCAGCTCAGCCACTGAAAAACCAACACTGTAATACTTCAGCCTCCCTCGCTTCCCTAAAGTGGGACACTACCAATACTTTTTCTTGATCAGGCTGCTTCCAGTGGGAAAATGTGGTCCTGCAGATAACTAGTCCCAAGCCATGTACAGCTTTATAGGTTAGTACCAGCCCTTTCTATTGCACCTGGAAGCCTACTGGCAAGCGTTGCAGGACTTCAGCACTGGTGTAATGTGTGCCTACCAGTGAATGCCAGTCAGCACATAGGCTACAGCTCTCTGAACCAACTGCAGTTTCTACATGATCAAATACAGCCTCATGCAGAGCATGCTGCAGTAGTCTAAGCACATGGTGACCAGGGCATGAGTCACTGTAACAAGGTCTTCCCACTTCAGGTAGGGTTGCAATTGGCACACCAGCCAAAATTGGAAAAATATACCCATAGCGACAGACTCCACCTGCTGTTCCAGTGGGTGCCATGAATCCAAGAGAACCCCTAAGCAATTAACCTGTTTCTTTGGGGGTAGTGTCACACCTTCAAAAGACACCACAGGAGCAGGCAGAGAATCCCAAGTAACTAAGCAAGATTATCCATATGGAGTCAAGACTTAAACAAATCTGGGTAACTTTGTTAATCAAATATTGTGCTAATTGACCAGCAACTAGGTGGGAACTCTTGACATTGATTTTTTCCTAACAGTGAATTGACAACCTGAAATACAACTGCAGGAAGATAACTCACTGATACAATAAGAGTTGAATTGGCCTGAATGTGGGCATGTAGTTATGCTCGGTCAGATTCACTCCTTGACCACCTCCACCAGCCCTCTAGATATCACTTCTGTCATTTCATCTCCTGCGGGCTCCCAGTAAACCAAAGAACTACCTGAGATTAGCCAACAGAGAGAGGCTGCTTGGAGGCAATTTGTCAAGGACTCAGTATATTGCTGTCCCCAGCCCATCAAGGTTGAGTCACAGGTTCTTTTGGATTCAGAAGCAATAACCACACAGTATGAGCATTTAAGGCTTTATTCCAAAGCAATATAAGGAAATAACATAATAACCTAACATGAGATAGCAATCCAAGAATATTCAGGAATACTGAGGAATATAACATAACCCAGGACAGCAGTCAAATAATATTGAAGAATAATGAAGACTATAACTTTATTCATTCATTCATTCATTCATTCATTCATTCATTCATTCATTCATTCATTCAAACTTGGATAGCTGTCAATCTCACATTTGTAACCAAGACAACAATCAAAGAATATTCAAGAATGTGAAAAATATAGCATAAAATATAACATAACCCAAGCAGCAATCAAAGAACATTCAAGAATACTGAAGAACACAAGACAAATAATTAAAGATCTTATGCCCCTTCTGTCAATCAGGAAACCTGAAATAAGATGATGGGAGGACCCCTTCAAAACCAGCAAACATGCAGCACCCTCCCAGTTAGGTGAGCATTGAAGTTCCATTCTGTGGGAATTCTGACTAGCTTATATAGGTTCTGAACCACCATTACTCACACCCCTTTTTGATGGTCTTATCTCACTGGAGTTTGCCAAAGAAAAGTTCATCGTATCTTGGAATGCTTCATGGATGGAATGCTTTGTCTAGTTCTGCCAAAAATGAGACCATCCAAAGTTAAGGAGCACTGTATGTCAGGTGGCCATGACCCCATTTCAGAGTTAAGGAATATCTGTTTCCTGAGGTTTTTGGATTGACAATAAGAAAGATCATCGTACTCTACATAAATGTTCCACCAAGGGCAAAAAAAGTATTTGTTGTTGTTTAGTCGTTAAGTCGTGTCCGACTCTTCGTGACCCCATGAACTATATTGTGCCAGGCCTTCCT